ATCCAAATAGCTACAGAAAGCTTACAACTACAATATAGAAATAGGTATGCAAAAGACTCAGAAACAAGAAGAAAAGCATGGTATTCAGATCTCATGGTGGTAGTTAAATTAAATGGTGGGAGGTAGTTAGATTATATGGTGGTAAATGATATAAATATCAGGAAGGGTTTAAATGGATAGCTAGAATATAAAATAGATATATGACGCAAGAAAACAAATAGATTAAATGGTGATAATTAGATTATATTATTCAGATTATATGGTGGTAATTAGATTATATCTTTTAGATTATATGGTGGTAGTTGGATTATATAGTGATATTTAGATCATATGGTGGTATTCGGATTATATGGTGATATTTAGATTATATGGTGGTGATATAATCTAGGGTAAGCGGGATACCACCATGTGATATAATTATATCACATGGTGGTATCCCGCTGCATCTGATCCCAAATCAGATTCATTATCATTATAACCATCTAAGTCACTTAAGTATTCATCAGACTCAGCGCCATCATAGCGGATGAGCATTGGGCTAGATCTAGTGCAATCAGTTTGGTCAAAAATAGTTAGTGTATGCATGATGTCAATAAGTAAGATTGTATATACTCCAATATATTTTTGAAATGTTTAATTTATTTTTTTTGATAAATGTAATAAAGAAGTGATAGCAAACTTAGTCAACAAATCGTAAATGAAAGGGAAACAGATATGTATCTAAAGTGAAGCCTTCTTCAGAATTATTATATAAAAAAATAGAAGAAAACTTCACCTACCTAAATATATACCCAGATATGGTGAAGTCTTCTTCAGAAATATTATATATAAAATTGGAAGAAGACTTCACTTTCTAGGTATGTACTCAATATATATATTTTGTGTAGCCTTCTCCGTAATTATATTATATAAAAATGGAAGAAGGCTTCACTTTTCTAGATATGTATTCAGCTACGATATAGCCTTTGCATAAGACTTATTCGCTTAATGTCAGCCAACACTATTTCATAATTTCAGTCAAAACTTTAGATGTAATAACTTGACATCCAAGCTGGCATATAAGTGAACTGAAACTGGTGAACTAATAGAAACTTATTAGTTCATTCCAGTTCTATGACAATTCCAGGAGAGTCTCATGATGCTATCACGATACTATCATGACACCAAATTGGATTCTCAAATCACATGCTCAAAAGATCAGCCAGAATTATATCATAATGTCAGTCGAAATTAATCGCAAATTTACCATGTCACCTGACGCATTTTTTTATCACAATTTGATATTTAACAGGCAACCAAGCAGACGCAAAAGGTAAGCATATCAATATAGAATCAAGAATCTATTCAGACACAGAAGGCTAGCACTCTCAACATAAATTAGGTATCTAAACACTTACGGAAAGCCAACACCCTAAAATAGAATTTGGCATTCATTCAGGCATAGAAGGACAATACTAATTGAATAGCCACAAGGCAATAAATGGGTCACAAAGCAATAAAAACAAGTGGAAAGCTACAAGGCAATAAAAAGGTTACAGAGTAGTGAAAACAGATGGATAGCAATAAAGTAACAGAAAGGATATAGACATATAAAATAAGTAAATAGCTATCAATATAGCTATAAGTAGGCGTTATTATGATGTAAGTAGATAGATTAAGTAGATATCACTATAGTTATAGTGATATCTACTTAATTTATCTACTGAAAATAAATTTGTGTATTAATCTATTTATACCAGATCTTATGATTGAATATAATTGAAAAATTATTAGTAATTCAAAATTATAAAATTAGTTATAATGATTATATTTCAAATTTTTTAATAAAAAATTGTGATTAAAATAAATAAATATAAAATTATATTTCTAACATTTCTACTTACAGTCAAACCTTGATATAACGAACCCTTGATATAGCGAATTTTTAAATCAAATATATTAAAATTACCTTACTATAATAAACTAGCCAATTAAATTCTTTAAAAAAATCATTATAAGCTTATAATGAAGTTGATATCCAGATCCTAGAATTTGTTATATCAAGAGTTCACTGTATATTTATTTTATTTAAGCTTATAAATTTAACTTAAATTTTTTTTAATAATATACATTAATATGTGATTTTTACAAATCACAATAGTAGATAAAACATTTGAGTGGTTGCTTTTTATTGGTAGCTTACTGGTTCCATTAAAATAATTATAATAATATATATATTTTTAGTAAAAAAATATTTTATAAATCATAAATTATGCAGTAATAAATCATTATATTTCTAATATTACATGTGTAAAATAAGTTTATTAAAGATAAGATATGTATATGAATAATAAAAATAAAAGGACAATGAAAAGATTAATAAGCATATTAATTAGCATTAGGCTAGAGGAAAATCTAACTTCTTATCATTCTAACATTTACAAACCATCATATTTATATAAAATAATTTACATAGAAAGATAAAATCTAATATGGGAGGTTTGCTAGGAAAATGGGGCTTTATTAAAATTTTAAGATTTATTGCATTTTAATCTAACATTATCAAAAATTAAAATGCAATAAAAATTAAAATTTTAATAAAAAATTCTCAGAGCCCCATTTTCCTAGCAAACCTCCCATATTATTAGTTATATTAGTTTTGTCTGACATGTCTAACGTTACATGTATAAATCATTCGTAAATCGTTTTTGTAGATCTTCTAGTAGATCAATTTTATGAAACATGTTGATCATTTGTATAAATATTATTTTAAAATAATAATAAAATCATAAAAATTATTATTAGCTAAAATAATTTTTAATATCTATTCTTATTTTTATAGTTAACCCATAAGAACAGTTAATTAGTTAGCATAGAGCCTTTCGCCGCAGGAAAACTGCGACTGCATACTGCATATCAAAAATTTGATAAATCACGTGATTGGGTGACTTATAAATATCAATTTTATAATTATTCTTTTCGCTACAAATTTTCGTTTGATCTATTTAAGATGTCCAACTATCCAAGATTTAATGCTACTACAGGACCTTCGCCTTTTGGTGTAACTAGCACTGCAGCTAGTCCCTTTGGCGTACAAACCTCTTCGACAGCCAATGTTGGTTTTGGTAACTTTGCCAGTACTCCAGGTGAGATTTGATCAAATCTTTTTTGATATTGGTATATCTGGGAGGTAGTGATTTGGTACTGTAGCAAATTATATGTGGCGCTTGGGAATGGACTTGTGGTATCTTTACCTCCTCTTAAGTTAATTAGTTTTAAAGATAGTGTTGTTTTGTGGAGAATAATATGAAATTTTTTTTTTACAGCAACAAGTGCTCCAACATTTGGTGGTTTTGGTTTCGGTGCACAGCAACCTTCAAATACTACAAAACCTGCCTTTGGCTTTGGTGGAGGAGGAGCTTTTGGACAAGCCGCCTCACAACCGACAGGTTTTGGATTTGGCCAAACGTCACAACCAGCCAGTGGATTTGGCGGTGCATTTGGACAAACCTCACAACCTTCGGGATTTGGATTTGGTCAGACAACACAACCACCGGCTGGTGGATTTGGATTTGGACAACAGCCACAAGCTACTAGCACCGGATTTGGATTTGGACAACCTGCTACCACACCGCAAACTGGTTTTGGCTTCGGCGCGTCAAAACCAAATACATTTGGTAGTGGGTTTGCGCAAACTTCACAACCCACAGGATTTGGATTCGGGCAA